CTTCTTGACAATGGTAACAAACTTGAGGACGAGCTGGGTAATAAAGCCTTCCATTTGGACCAACGATTGGCTGTAAGGACAGTCTCTCAGATTGACTATGTAGACCACCAGTATAACCTGTAGATTGCTCTGAAGTCCTAGGTTTGCCTGCAGTCCACGAGCTCTGATGACCTGAAACTTGACCGACTTGCTGCATTGAATAGTTATCTCCCGGAATACCTGAATACTGAAAAGGCTGCTGTGGTCGACTTCGACGATTGCGAAACTCGCCCGGATAGAACTCCCGTGAAATACCTGGAGGTTGCTCATAGCTATATCGATTTGACTGCGAACCGTTTCTATATCCACTTGTCACCGCATAGTTATCCAAAGCAATTATGTCCTCATCAACTTCACAAGACGATTTAGATTCTCCACTCACCGCAGTCCCTTTTTGCAGTCTCATTAGATCCTTCAACATCTCCCTTAACTCCTTGACTTCATCTCGGACTGACTCTGCCTTTGCAACAGATTTTCCCTTTGATACCTTCTTATCCTTTCTTGCAGGACTTTTTCCAGAACTCTTCAATCTTGCTTGAGTTTTTGATGGCCGATAATACTCATCCTCATCTGCCTCAGACTCACTTTCAGATTGATCACTTTCATCAGACTCACTATCATCAGTTTCATCATAGTCCTTGCGTCTGCTGCCTGTAGTCTTCTTGTATCCCTTTATCTTGAGCTGGGTAGCAAGCCTCATTACTCCATTGACAACTTGATGTGGACTCTCACCCATGTCTCGACTCAGATAGGTCATAATTGCCATTTCTCGCAAACGCTGATTTCCTATACCATCAATATAGTAACGAATCAAAACCCTGTCAAACTGATCAAAGTGAGCTGGCCTCTTGCGTAGCAACCGAAGAACTTTCTTTGAGTAAGTAAACACATCTCGATTTCCCTGCTTGAGGGTGCTCATAGCTGAAAGAATCTCCTCATTGGCCTGAGCTCCACTTTTGGAATCATCAAATTGGTTTCTCAGATTATCGATCAAGGATCTCTCATCCCACAAGACATCCTCTGGAAGTTGGCGAAGGAAACGACCTGCACTAGACCGGATCGGACAAGCAATATGGATTTGAGCAACTCGCCTTTTCTGGGACTCAGCAGTTCTTCCATCAAACTCTTCTCCCATTGTCGCAAACCATGATTCCATCCATCCAATAAAGTCCTTTATGCCGATCCCGTTCTCTCCTGTAAACACAATACTGGGTGGACGTGAAAGACCCATTTTCTCAAATAAGGGGAGGGGGACAAGATAAGCAAACAAGCAGACTCACTATGTAGTACCAGGCAGCACAAGTTCAAGAACCGACAAATATAGATTGCACAGGTGGGCAAGTTGTCCAGGTATCAGACACCAATCCGTTTCAGAGCACCACTTGTGGAAGTGTCTCGGTTGTCTTCCGGATTTTGGATGGTGTGATTGACCGAGCTGACACCTGTGCAATTGTGGTAACCGTACAATGTAATATTCGATCGGATACGAGTGTAGACTTATGCTGATAAAGTTGACAGTAAAACACAGTGAGAAAGCAAGCGAAAGGAGTGGGGAAAACGACACCCAGAAACAACAGTAAAGAAGGTGGTGGTGTTGGTTGTACAGGATGGGTTCTCGCTGTCTTGTTCCTCCGCTCTCTCTGAGGAAGACAAGGCCATGCCTCCAGGTGAAAAACAGCCACCTGCTAAGCCTCATCTCAAACAGAAAATTCTATGGGCGAAAACCCAGCAAACATGACCAGAAAACTCCTAAAACCTTCCTCGCACCACACCGGTATGTCCTTCCTATCACAGGGAAAAGCCATCCATTTGAGATGAGTCTGGGCTTAACCCCACATCTAGAGTTGAGAAGAAAACCAAGGTAGCGAGGTGGACAACAAGGAAAGACATAATCAAGTATTGTATCGGGGAGGCAGAGGAACTCCTGAAATAATTCAAAAAAATATAGTAAGATGGAGGGTATTGGAAGATGCAATCACAGGAGCTGGAAATTTAACAAGTGAATCGGTCTGCCTTGGTGTCATTGTGCAAGAGGGGAGCGCAAGTACCTGAACTACAGAGAGAGAGTAGAGAGAGTATAATTGTGGAGAGCGTGTTTAAACAAGTATCAATAGTGGAAAAATGTAGGCTTACTAGTACCAAAACCTGATCGAGACTAGGGTGAAAGTAGTGAGAAGAACTTTCTTAAAAAAGAGTGGGTTAAAATATTATACTACGCTCTAACTATTACAAGTATATCTTGCTCAACTAAGGATTGTATGGGACCATTCCGATAATCCTAAAGGGTTATAGGTATTGGTATACTCTAGTTATGATCTCTCGGTGCAAGTCTATTCTGTAAGATATTTGAAAGAAGTATTTGCCTGTGTGTACCAGACAGTCCTATGATTATTAGAGAGGTAATCTTTTAACTATATAATTGTTCTTTGTTGTTTTAAATTCTATATTTCAAGTTGCCCTAGTTCTAGAAAATATATTGGTTCTTTAATATTAGTGACTTAGATTTTTTTTAGGCTTTTGCCCTTATCCTCTTTGGCATTTATTTTATTCCAACTATCTTCAAGTTAAGGTTATGGCGACCTAGAGGCCTCTTTATTAGGAGCGCAACACTATTGCCATATTATGATGTGGGGTGCATTTCTATGTAGCTCGCGCAAGTCTTGGAGAATTGTCCATGACAGCGAAGAATCCTGGAGAGTGAGGTCGGGGATAATGAGGTGCGACTGTACATCCACCGTACTTCTTGTCTGTAACGAGTGGAAGCTTTCTAGCTGATGTAGATCCAGAGATCCTGGATGTCGAAAAAAAAAAAAAGAGCGAAGGAACAGAAGAAACTGTGGATTTGTCACCGGATGGCGGTATTATTATTATTTTTCGGCAGCATTCTTGTATGTTCCGAGACCTCGAATGTAGCCTGTTGGATTTTGCAGACTATGCCTCTGCTCCTTTATTCTGATGCTAGGAAAAGAGTTGGAGATTTAAGTAGAACTAATTCCCCAAAATTTAGATGGATAGGGATTGTAGAGGTCAATTTTTCATATCTCTCCGGTGGCGGTGGAGTCGAACGTCACCTCGAAACCGCAGGGCCCGACATGTGCGCAGTATGATAGAGCGCAGTGCAAGTAGACTAACTAAATCCTCGTCATCAAACCACTGATAGGAGCGCTACCACCGGCCGCCACAGCCGCCACACAAACCTCTAGCACTATGCTCGAGTAAGTTAGACAATGATACATACCGCGAACGTTCCGAACCCCAACCCACCATAAAACAGCTACTATCGCCGCGACGAAATAATAATCACAGCACGGTGGTCTCGCCGAGAAAAGAGTGCATGAGCACCGTGCACTCGCCCACAAAGCCATACCCCTTGACTACAGCCGCAAGAGTGTTGAGCGGACCTACATACGGACATTGAAACAGGGGAGGGAACGCCGGGGGAACAAAATGGCTGAATGAACGAATGAACGGGTCGATTGGGGCGGGGAAGGAATTGGAATCATATTATGAAAAGCAATGGACTACCTGGGATTTGATAGGTTAACTTACATAGTAATACTACAGCACGATAGAAAAGACCGACAGGTTGCTGTGCAGTACAGTACAGGATGTGCAGGCGCCACATTAGGGGGCAACTTTTAATCAATCGCTCACTCTCTTGCTCACTCACAACCCGTACCCCGCACAAAACAGAACAAGGTGAAATCACAACCCCTCACTCGCTAGGGCAAAGACAAAACAAACTATAAAAAATCAAAAAATCACATGGTATCTGCCCTTCCATCGCCCCCAACCTTCCTGACGCCCCCCTCCTCCAATCTCTCTCCGCCGCCACCATCCTCCCCCCTCACCGTCCTCCCCTGTAAGGGTCAGAAGCCCCCTCACGATTGCGTCGACCTCCCTGGCTAGCCTGCCGTGGTCGACATCGTACCAGCCCGTCACTCGGTTATATCTGACGCCCTACTCGCACCCGCGCGCTTAAAAGTCCTCGGCGCGCCACAGGAAGCGCAGGAAGTGTGCGCGCAACGCCGGGTTACGCTCGGGCGAGAGGACGCGGTAGGTGCCCAGCACCACGGCCGTTGTCGCGGTGAAGTTGCGCAGGTGTGCGAGGGAGTTGAGGGTTGTTGTCGTGTCGTAACTCTGTTTGCGCCGGTGCAGGCGTGACTGGAGGCGGTGGGCGCAGGAGCTGGGAGTGATTTCTCTCGGGCATTTCGTGGGCAGGTGGGGAATAGCGGCAGGGGGTATTCCTCATTTGTGAATTTTTGATTCTCCCTTTTGATCGTGCGGCCGTGATCCCCCGGGGACCCTCCCGCGCCCCGCACGGCCCGGCCGGCCCGTGAGCTGGTGGGGCGGTAGTTCCCTCCAGTGGCCATGCTTGACCACTTCTACTATTGGAAGCTGTCTTCACAGTTCATCAGTTTATCTCATGTCCCTGCTCCGGTCCTCGACCTAGTCATGGTCGTTACTCCACCAGTGGAAGGGCGGGCAATGCTAAAAAGAAACAAAAGGTGAAGTGTGGTGGTGGTCTTCCGCTGAACAGCCGAAGAGACCCTAGAACAATAGACCTTGTCGTAGGTCCCCCAGCTGGGGAAAGGCCTTGTCGGGTGATATGATATTCTCCGTTTCTCTTTATGACCCACGGGGTTATCCTCAAATAAACCTTTTTTGCAAGGAGTGGTTTGGGATTTGAGGTACTCTACTTGTGGCTCGGAATCACTCCCGTAGGCTTGGGATCGAGTTATGATACCCAAGTTTCTAACCCTTACGGCAGGTAGGGGTAGTGTTTTTGGTATCATAGAGGTATCATAAGAATTCAGCCAGCAAGTATCTATCCTACTTCTATCATCCTCTCCACAAATACTATGATACCAATATCAATCCTTCATATCACCCAGACTAAAACATCCACTCCGTCATCCACTTGAACAAAAATGGAAAAAAAAGAGGGAGAGGAACCAGACTCAACCAACTGCGCTCTTGAGCACATCCAACGAATCCGCGCACTCTCTCAACACCCCCAACTGATCCCGAAGTCCAACCTCGATCGCACCAAGCCTAGCCGAAATTTGCACAAGTTCTCGTGACATCTAGTCGCACTTTGCGATCGTTTCTTGAACGAGTAGGCGAAGCGCTGTCAGATCTCGGTTATTAGCAAGCGGAATTGGGGCTTTTGGGAATAGGGTGGGGTGGGGGTCGCAGCTACTACCTGGTTTCCGGGTAAACATGCTTGTGGTTTTATCTAGGGATTGGGCTGCATTCCTGGGATCTGCCACAGTTTCTGGTTCCGATTCCGATTCCGATTCCGATTCCGGTACTGATTTTGATTCTCTTCTTATTCCGAACATACCCGGAGCCGGGACCGGGGGGCTTCTCGAACGATTATTGATGGGCATTGCTATGAAGTGGGGTATTGTTTTCCACCCTTATGGGGATGCAAACTGGGTTGTGTGGAGGTAGATGTGGGCTAATTATTGATCGGCAGGAGAGGATATTATATAGTGGTGGCACCGCTCATTGTGCAGGGGGAGGAGTTTGGCCTAAGTTAAGGCAGACTTCGGGAAATTTTTGCCCAAAGAAAGAAAGTGCCGGGTCACTTGAGCCTTATTGAATGTTCCAGTCGCCATCCTTGTTCGCCTTCCCGGTGGAATGTCATGGAGAATTCGGGATTTGACCCGCCGCGCGGGTGCCAGAAGTGCCAGGTATAAGATTCTTGAATTTGATTGCTTTCGGCGCATTTCGCACTCTAGTGGGGACGGATGGGTGCAAGAGTTGAACACGTCATGAAGGATCACTCGGAACTGGCCCAAGCCCTGATCAAAATAAACATCTGGGTAATGCGCTAGCCGTTTAGCTTCCCCCTCATTGCCCCTTCAAGAACGGTATTGCACTGATTCCGGCCCAGACCACATTTTTTCAATCGAAAGGCACCCGGGGCCTAAAGAATCTGGTAATATAAACCTAGTGCTAAGTGCTCGAGTAAATGAACCCCATGCCCATCACGCATCCCCCCCAAAAGATTCTAAAGCTAACTAATTATCTACCTAATGGGATCCGTCGACTTTGCAAACCTCCCAAGAGGTATAGTTGAAAGTCAAACTCACAGCACATGTCGGCAAACTCTCCGCCGACTCTCCTGATATCGCTCCACATGTGCCGGATTTCTACGACTGTTTTGAAAGCGAGACAGGATGTCTAAGGGTATTAGCAGCAGGGCCATAGAGTCCGCGAGCTTGGGCAGGTGAGGGGAGGCGGGGCGAGCGGCTTACATCCTGACCTAGGAGCAAGTTTCATAGCATCGGGAGGTTTTTTTCCACTGGTGGGACTACCTGTGATCCTCCTCTTCGATCCTGTGACACCACCGGCGCCTTTGTCTGGCCTTTTGGCCGTATCCCTAGGCGGTTGTTGTGGGAAGTGTTGTAATGCCCATGGTAACTGTAGTTATCGTTTCTTCGAGCGTCTCGGGACCCTGGAAGCATGTTTGAGAGAGGGTATTGGCTGTTTAGGTGGCGGTGATGAGGGGGCTGTGGAGGGCGCTGGTTGTGAAGTCTTTGGAGAGGGAGCCAAGCGCGGACCGACTAGGGTTATGTAGAGTTGCTGCCTCTCTATAGCCTCTATGATCTCGACCGGGGACCCTCTCAAATATGTGTCCGCACCGGGACCAATGATGGAAGGGCCACAAGAACAATTCCCACCAACAGGCCCCTTTAAAGCCAGATACGAGCTTCCCAACCCCCGAGAAACACTGCACAAGTGAGTACAATAGTTATAGTTACAGCCACTCCGGCCATTTCCACACTCCCCCCACTGCCCACCACTGGACGATCCAGCAGGTTTCCACTAATGGTGGAAACTCCGAAAGTGAGGCAATCTCGGTACTCCCACGCCCCTATATCCCGCTCATTCCATCCCAGTATTATACTGGTATCTCCAATAAGCTTTCGGTGGAAACATACCATGCCGCACAACAGGCGCGCACTCTACATGTCCCCACCTGCGGTACATCTCACAATTCTGGAACCGCCGTGACCAGGGCTCCCGAAAGTATCCCAAGTCGAGGTTCCAGGGACATCTCACCCCGTGCACAATAACGACCCCCCCTTTGTGCAGCGGATTACCGTGGTAGCGAGAAGGCCAGTGTACCACACGGTACCACACGGCACCTCCTATCCACAACCCGTCCAGGATGTATGATAGCCAGACCACCGCTATCGCGGAACACACCCACACAGGAGGAACCAATCCTTCAGCCCTGCTCTATGCTCACGCGTACGGGTTTACGAACGAATCGTTTTGCACTGTACCATCGTATGTTTGGCCGCGACTAGGTACAATGTTCAGCTGGGCAGGGTTTTCCGGCTTGAGGGAGGGATACTTGTGCCCAGAGAGTATTTGAACGCCGCATGGTACCCAACGGTGCGTGAGGAAGGGGATACCTGGTGCCTGCATATTATCTGGCATGTGGTAACTTGTCCAGCCAGGTACTGTACATGCGCGGGACGGTACTTGGTGTGTAATAGCACACTGTTTTGAACTTTTGGTACGGTTTTGGCCTTTGTATAGCACTGTAGACTCACGTTTGAGGATTCCGCCTGAACTTAATACAAACGCTCTAATTGTAATGGAACAAGATCCGCCGGCGGCACCACCATATCTCACGGCACCGGGCATCGCGGAAGGTATTACCGCTCACTCCCGCAGCCACACTTCTCCTGATCCAAGTCTTATTAGGAAACCTAGCAGAGATTGCCACCGCACGTACATTCAGTGGGTAGGTGCCTCAGCTAACGCACGATTGGCACTGCAATTGACCAACCAAATCAAACAAAAGCGTTGTAGTATAAAAATATAATTCCATTACCTATCCCATTCAGTCAATCCGGTTAGGAAAAAGAGAAAGCACTAACGCAACCCATAATCCATCGCACAGAATAAAAGAAAAGCGCAAAGTAAAAGGAAAATCTAGTAACCCCCCCCTCCCCACCTAATCCCTACCAAATATTAAAAAGGAAACTTTTGTACAGGCACATGCCAATAATCATCTAATCCAACTATGACTGCCCTGGAATAACCTCAACATACCGGCTCTTCCCACGCTTCTTTCCACCCCCGGGCGTGCTCTTTCTGCTAAGGGGTGCACCTGGAGGACCAAGGAGGTCGTCAATAGTGTCTCCTGTTGCGGCGCGCTGGCTTATGGATGTTGGCGGGCGGCTTGGGGGGCCTGTACCCAGTGCACCCGTGGAAGGTGGAGTAGATGCAGGATGTCCGGGAGGAGGTGGAGGCGTAGATATTGAGGGTACAGAAGAGGGTGTTGGTGACCTCCCGAGTGAGGTTGGGGGGGCGTGGAGCCCGGATGTGGGTGGTGCGGACGAAGTCCCTGAGGGTGGAAATCCGGGTGTCGATGGGGTGGAAGATGGTTGGGAGGTAGGTGTTGAGGCCCGCTTTGGTGGTGGCGCTGGCTTCGGGGCAGCTGCCGTGGCATCACCAGCTTTCTTATTTACCCAACGCTTAAGATCTGGATCGTAAACGAAGGAGCTCTCTTCTCCGAGTTTCGCTTTGATAGGTCCTTGTTGGTTAGGATCCTTCTTTCCGAACCAACCGCCAAACCAGCCTCTTTTTCCTTCATCTGCAAAGTTAGAGCCCGTACCCAATTATGTTGGAGCTATCAGCGGAAATATACCTTGAGCAGCATTCTTCTTTTCTTCAGCCTTTTTCTTTGCCTCCTCTTCCTGCAGTTTCCTCGCTTGTTCGGTAGCCTTTCTCGTAAACTCGTCGTCATCGTCGTCCATAAATGACTTCTTCGGCTTGAGTTTGTCGTGCTTGGTTTCGTCATCGTTGTTATCCGGCTCGTAAGGAGTAAAGTCCGTAGATGGAGGCTCATATCCACCAGCAGATGGAGGTTGGTAGCCGGACCTAGGTGGATGAGGTTCAGGGGCCGAATTCTCCATAGTCTCTTGTTTAGATATTGATGATGCTGCATCCTCGAAAGAGCTCCTAGAATCGTATGTAGATGCACTTGGATATCCGGTTGATACAGAGCTAGGAGCAGGGTTGTCGTAAGGATTGACTGCTTGCTGCAGTGGAGGGAGGGGGTTAGAGTTCGGCTCGTATCCTCCACCATAGCCAGTAGGCTTGTAGGTATCCGAAGTAGCCCGCTGGTTCACTATAGGCTCATAAAGACTGCTTTTCGGTTGGTAAGAGTTACTTGGAGCATATCTATTTGCCGCTTGAGAGGAAGGTTTAACTGCCACTGGAGGGGCGGAGGTGTAGCTAGGGGCATTATTGTACGCGGAGTAAAGGTCGACACTAGACTGGACCCTACTGATCTCAGGGCTCACGTTTCCGGATCCAGCCATCTTTGTGAATGGACCCGCAACAGCATCCATCATACCCCCTTCGCCACCAACTGTACTTGAGGTCTCCTCCTCCTCGCCAGCAACAAACTTATTAAATGTTCCCCAGAGCGAATTGCTAACTGTATCCGAACTCAACTTCGGAATCCATTTACCAGCACTGGGGCTCGAATCCTTGGGGCTCATAGAAAGACGAGCAGAAAGATCTTCAAGCCCGCCAAAGAATCCAGGGTTGAAGTAAGGGGAGGGTTTATTCCAAAGCTTTATCGAAGAAGCGATAGAGTCGCAATACTTTTGCGCATCTCCCTTTTGCCCATTTTCGGCGAGGACAATCGCGCGTTGAAGCTTATAGCCCTGGAGGTGAGGAAAGCCCGGACCGGGGGTTGCGCAAAGTGATACCGCTAATTCGTAAACCTCACTAAGCATGGCCGAGTCGGCGTCTCTCCCAAACAGCGCCTGTCGGTGATCTGCGCCCAATAACGAGAAATCGGCGGCCGGATCGTCATGACCACTGAAAACGGATCCTGTGCCGCCCAGGGCCCCCGGGCGGGCAAATAGATAGCTTAAGAGAGCATTAGTTTAATCCTTTCCTCCAAATTCACAAAAAGATTATGTACCAAATGTGGCCAGCTTCAACTCTATCGTACCCAACCAACAACTTCCCCAGCGCCATTATTGACTCTGCATCACCCGGAGACCTATTGCTTAGAATCAGGCCCAATGTTTCTCTCCACTGGCCAAGTTTCTCGTCAATATTCACACTCCCGCTCCGGGAAGCACCACCCAGCATCGGCATTCCCATCCTAGCACTAGCGCTCACTAACTCATTAACACAATCTTCCCAGTTACCAGCAAACGTTTCGTAGAGAGCAGCCAGACTATCTGCATCCTCCCCAAGTGTCTTGACTTCGTTCTTCACAAATTCTTGAACTACCTGCTTCCACAATTCACGGCCAACAGTCCCGGATATAAGCAGCGCGTGTGACCACAACTTGTGATCCACAGCATGCCAAACAGCCGCTGCCCGGTCGCCCCTGAGGAGATTATTCTTAATAGTCTTGACGGCTTGGATATCAGCCCGTTCGATACTTGGGCCTTGTGTGTTCAAAGGCATATCTCCCACGGCAGAGAATGCCCCATGATCGCCTATGCCCTCTTCCACCGTTTCCGGTGACAAGGTAGCTCTTACAGTCCTCTCGACTTCTGAATTTCCTTCCAAAACTCCATCATTTTCCAGTAGAGTCCTGACAATCTTCCACAGCAATACCTTCTCTTCCGCCCTTGTTCCCCCTTCCTGCGCTCTTCTCTCTAGATCCCCGATCTTGTTCGTGAGCCAAGCCAATAGCTCTTTCTTCTTTGCCTTATTTGTACTCTTGGAACCCGACCACGCTGGTCCAGGAAATTTGTTCTCTGATTCTTCGAACGGCAAAATTTCCTTAATACTTCTAATCTTGACTTCTCCGGGAGAGCACTTGATCACTGGCTGTTGCATATCCGAAGTATACCTTTGAACCCGTTTAGGAAATGTGTACGCGATACTTCCACCGAATCCCCAGCAAAATACAGGCGCACCTTGCCACCTCTGTAAGACATCTTGGCGGGTCTCGTCGTTTGGAGCCATAAAGTTGAGCCCTAGATATTGTTGGCGTTGGTGGGGATCCGCGGACGCATAAGATGCGGAACTGCTATGGGCGAAGGCAGAGCTAGGTCGTTCATATGGATCTCTTGGTCTTTGGGTTATCTTATTAGCCTTGCCATATGCCATGCCAGGCGATTGGGTTTGCGCTCTTGGAGGCGGCTGAAAGGTAGTTTCGGGAGAGATTGCCCTCTGAGGGAACGCATTAGGATTATATCTAGGGGATTGTGTTGAAGGTGGAGGAGGAGGGGTAAATGTATTTTGGCGAGTAACCGAAGGCAAACTAGCGGGCGAATCTCTCCCGGAACCTCTTGAGGGTGCATACCGGCCTTGCGCAGGTGGGGGGACACCAGGTTGGGACGATTGTGAAGGGTGCCCGTTATTCTGAATCGTGTGGAGCAGGTTAGTTGCGCCTTCTTCCTCCTCCTCCCTTGGTATATCCATCGCCGAAACCTGCACAGATCTCGCAGTTCCTGGGCGCGAAGAGTGCATGGTATGGTGCTCACCGGAGAACCGTCTTGGATGGCTATGAGATGGATCCTCCGGAGAATGAGGATGTTGAGAAGGCGGAGATGCCGTAAATGAGTGTTGATACGAAGGGCCCTGGGGAGTCATTGGTGGCGGATTCATCAAAGGTTGGTGTGTAGCTGGATGACGCGGGGGTGGGACAGATCCACCGGACGGAACTCTACTTCCGACCTGCGGCGGTCCGGCGGGCCGAGGTGCATATTTCATTCCAGCAGCTGGAGGGGCACTCGTAGGCAAAGGGTACGGGGCCGCACTCGGGGCTGGAGGGTGGGTTGTATTCGGAGGAGCTTGGTAACCCATCGTTGCGCCCGGTGCTGGGGAATACCTTGCCGATGCTGCAGTGGTGGGAGGTGCGGTGTACATACCAGAGGTCGCTCGAGGAGCGGGGGAGTACCTACTTGTTGCAGTGGCTGTTTGGGGAGCTAACTGCGCGGACACCCGCTGGGGCGATCCCATGACCGTCTGAGCGAATGATTTTTGTGTGCTGTGGTAAAATCCTTGCGTGCTCTCGGGTCTCGGAGGCGCCACCTGATAACTGCCAGTCTCGGAGGGTACCCGATTCATCGGTTCCGGATGCCTTCCTAGCGCTGAGGTCGCTCTCTGCTTTGGAGGTATAAGGGGCAGCTCTTCAAAGAACTTCTGCTGCAGCACGCCCTTTGGTTTCGGAGGCCCCTGTGGTTGAGCTTGAGTAGGAGCCCCGGCAGAGAATGCCGCACCCATACTACTGCTCCTTACTGGGGGGGGTTGACCAGGTATGTTTCCTATTCCCGCAGGTATAGCGCTCTGCGACTGCTGGAGATTAGATGGCCTCTTCCTGGTCACTGGGGGCCCTATGTCCAGAGGTAAATCATATGGACTTTGATAACCCTCGTTTTTGTCCACAAAGCTCTGGGCTTTCCTTTCAGGTGCTGGCGGGGGGCGAACTCCAAAGGCGGAGTATGTGGTAGCCGGCGGAGGGCCGGGCACATGGGATACCGGCGCTTGGAAAGCCTGGTGTGGAGGTGCATACGGATTATAAGGAGTTTGCTGAGGTTGTTGTGCTGGCCATGTCCCACCATATTGTGGCTGAATAGGGGACTGCACCGGGATCTGTGTTTGCGGAGTATACCGCGGAGCTATTGATGGAGCTTGTGGGGCGCTTCCTATGGAGGTACTCGAAAATCCCCGAAGAGCTCCGTCGGGTCCGTCAACAGGTTTCTGAACGGGGGTCTCATCGTCGGAGTCAGGCAAGAACCCCTCATCGTCACTCGGCAGGAATCCCTCGCTGTCATCAGCCAATAATTCATCCCCGGCTAGTGCGGCCTTCCACCGCGCCGTCAAATCATCAGGGGCCTCTTGCTCGGGTGCTTGTTGATCTGGTTTGTGTTGCTGCTGGACTTGCCCAAAGAAATCCTCACCATCTGGTTGACTCGAGTTCTCCTCGGAGCCACCGAACAGAGATACAATTGGGTGCTCAGCCGGCGGTGCACTCGGCCCAACTTCGCTTATAAGAGTACTCGAACCCGCGGCTACACCCTTACCAGAGTGGTGTGGATGCGTGCGCCCTTTGAGCCCATCAATGACCTGAATCGTAGATTTTCTCTTTGGTCCCGGGATCCCATCGCCTCCAGTATCCGGGCCACTAGAACATAATCCTTCGAATAAATCATCGTCGATCTTCACGTCGCCGAAAAGGTCTGAGACCTCTTTAGCCCCACCACCGTTGTTAATCAAGGGCAGGCCTTCCTCAAATCTCGAAGCATCCTCATCCATATTCCCTCCAGTATCCAGACCCGGGCCGGCCGTGGTAACTCCACTATTCGCAACCTGTCCCACGGATGCCGTAGGATTGCCTGCTGCGCTCCCAACAAACCCGTGAAAAAAGCTCTCTTCGGTTCCAGCGACACCGGTGGTATCGAAAAACCCACCATGCTCAACGGAAGGCGTGTCGAACATTCCCCGATCACCGCCTCCAGTGGCAATCTCTGAAGCCATGATCTTGAATAACGCCTGCTCGGTGTCACCCTGCCCAGGCGCTCGATGTTGCTCTTCTAACTCAACTTGGGGAAAACTCGAGGATCGTTCGGGTTCTTGCTGCTTTAGCAACTCAAATGGGCCTGTGCCGTTGACGTGTGATTGGAGAGCAGCCATATCATCGAACCCCCAATTGATCTCTGCCTCGAACGCGGAGTCGGGAACTTGTTGATTTCCTATTGGCCGGTTTTCTTCCGACTCGACCGAACCCTCAGAGGGCGCTGTTTCTGGGGCAGGATAGACGGGCCGTGATTCGGCAATAACAGGTTTAGGGTCTCCTGCAGGTACAGGGTGGTCGACTGGAGTGGCAGAGTGTGCGATGTATGATTCTTCAACTTGTGAGCTCGCATTTGATGGGACGTTGCTTGATGAATCTGGGGAGAGACAGGAATGACGTGATTAGAAAACAAGCGTAAACAAAAGAATTAATTTACCCCATACCCAAATCCACTTTCGTTTTTACCCTCATTTCTAGCCCTTTATCTTCTCCCTCGCCCTCTAAAGGCTCCTCACCGGCACTGCAATAACCTTCCCCCTGGCTCTGCTTCGTGTATGGCAACACACTCTGGTCTTCCGCCGCCATATTGTGCAAGGCGGCGCTGGAAGGTTTTCTCGACCCGATTGGTGTGGGAGCAGCGGAATGCAATACGCTATTCTTGTGGTGACTTCCAACGTGGGGACAGCCCTGGTCAACATCCTCGATATGGCAAAATTCTGGGATTTGCGAGAAAGAGAGGGTAGAAACGTCCGTCGGGGGGGGGGGCGAGTTGCTCCCCTCATCGGGAGAATCACCAACAGGGGGGATATCCATCGGACCGTTCTCAGTTTGGCGGGCTGAAGCTGCCTCGGGCTCTGCGGCAGATGTGGTGAGCACCGGAGACGCTGGCGGATGCCGAGCCTCCTCCATGATGTAGGTGTGATATGTGGCTTCAAAGCTTGGTTGTGCGATGGGAATGAGCTGTAATTACACCCGAGGAGAAGAGAAAGTATAATTGGGGATGGTAGAAGAGAGAGGGCTAATAGTGAGCGGAATGAGCGAAGAGCAGAGAGCTATCAGCCATTGAATGGGGGTAAATTAGGGTTGGGGGGAAAGAGGTTCAAGTGAGATGGGAAGAGTTGGACGAAGAGAGCATCATGCACGCATAGAAAGGGCATCGGGGCCGAGAGGACACGGAGGCGAAAGGGGAAGACCTCATCCCTATTCCTAAAGCGGTTAGCCCAGCTCGGAGTATCCTCGTCGCAACCGGCACAACCCTCGCCCCAGACAACGTTTTTTTTATCAGATCAAGCTTTCGTCTGCTCCACCTCAACAAGAATAGATCTATCTTGGAGCAAGTTATTGTTCCAATCACGGGAATGTCCCTAACCAGCCATGACCAATACCGGTAATGCGAACTGTTGTTTAGTCCTTTCGTCCTCACTGGTGTTATTGCTAAGACTCGGACAGGTTGAATACCGGTAGAGCTCTTCGATCTTCTCATTCCTGCAAACTGCTCTATGGGCTGTGGTCATACGCGATGCCGAACATCCCCCTCTCTTCCTGCGCCCGATATCGCGGTGGCTACAATGCTCGAGTACCGGTACGATAGATCCTCGATCGATAAAGGCTCAAAAAGCCACCGTACTCGAGTACTGTATGATACAAGCGTTCGCCCCCCATGTTCCTCCCCTCCAACCAATCCTAACCCGTACCTCCTACGATTCCCCTACACTCTGATCCACTCGGCCATGTGTTCTAGGTAATAGGGCTCAATGTGGTATATGACCAGATAACATGTTTACATTCTCGTATTGCGTGGATCCTCACACTGAAGCAATTTCCCCACCAGTGCGAAATAATTGACTAACGGACGAGGATCTAGTAGTCTGGCTGTCAGTCACGGGAACCCGTATCGCTGCCTAGATTTGCAGACAGTCCGAAGATAAGTCCGGGATAGTTGATCTACGTACTGTCCGAGTCGTGGGAAACCGGATTTAAGTTAGAGGTGGTATTTAAAAGACTTGTATATAGTAGATTTCACCAGTGTTATTCTAAGGTGCTCGCTGATGCCATATGAGAGACATCGATGTCCCAAATAAAAACCGAAGTTCTTCTCGGAGCATTGACAAATAATGCCGGAATTCAACCATGTTTTTGATAATCCACAAAAGAGCCAGACTAGAAGCGGCGACCCTAACATAACCCGAAGTGTAGATAGAGGGTGTCTCAAGTGAAGACCATCCATCCCGAGTCCCTAACTCATCAAGTAATGGCTCTGGCCACTGTGATAGCTATATAATAATAAACCCACAATTGGAGGCCCTCTACTACGGGGATAGATGGGTGTACGGATACGGTAGTGGGATATAGGGGAGGTAGGGAATAGCGAAAACAATACCATCCACACATTTGCGTCGTAGGATACAGAAGAAAAGGGTTCCGAGCGGCTTCGGATGAGGTCGATTATATTGAAGGCATAACACTATCTGCTAAATAAGATATACAGTAGTCGAGTACAGGATACAAGTAAAGCACAATAAGATGGAGAAATCCCGGGTATGAGATGCCTAGATAATTTGGGTAGAAGAGGGGCACCCCAGAGACACCTTCCAAAGGCCTAAGCCCGGGGGGGGGGGTCTAGAGGCATCCGCACCCACACCTTATCCGAAGAGACAGCTAGGTAGAAATCGGGGGGTTGCTTGTCTATACTGTGACTATCTTAATTAAAAGGACAGGCAACGTAGGTATCATTGGCGGTTCTACGAATCAATTCATGCGGGAAACCCCAGAACGTCTGGAGAGTAATCTCCAAACGCTCAAGGGCCCGCACATAAGTGGTTTTCGGTCAACTGTGAACGGATATCTGACCGGAACTCGTTCTCAGGAGTCAAGATAGACGCAGGCTAGACAGGCAACCCCCGTAACGACGGCCTAGACTGTCTCCTCGTACAAGGTGTCGATCCCTAGAGAATTTATCAACAATTAGCATGTTGTTGGGCACAGAAAACCTGGGCTACAGTCCAGACCGCCGAAGAAAACTTTAGGGGCTGGATGCCTTGGGATAGCGACAGGATAGCGATAGGAACGGGTCCTGAATCGGGAGCGCGGGGCAATGTATTGGTGAACAAGGCGGACCAGGTTAACCGATATCCGTCTGAGCACCTCCAGCTAAGAAGATTGCGATAGGCAGCGGTTCCAAGTGAAGGTGAGGAGAAGTGGATGGTTTGCATCGTGCTCTGGTTGTTGGGAAAGGAGCGAGGGGAAATCGGGTGATCTTATACAAACAGTCACAGCAAGAGGGCGTCCCACAGTACTTGTAAGCCAAGGCCGTGTCGGCGGAGGATTGCGTGCATACCTTACAAGTACGGTAGACTATAATACGCATTAACACACAAAACGGAATAGTGTGCGATGGGATCCTGTGGGTGAAGACACAAAAGAATAGGTAACCACCGTCACCCTCTCTCCAAGAACCTCGTCCCATACACCATCAACCAAGGACAGTCCGGCTAACCCAGGAAAGCTTCCTCAAAGACTCCAAAATTATGTAAAGTTATCATAATGAGGGGGATACGAGTGAATCGATACCGCAACTGAGCTCACAAGCGGGGTGACCTAAGTTTGCCGATCGTGGGTAGATAATAGGGAGGTTCTGCAGACGGGCATGAACGTGAACTTGAACTTGTTGCTCTAGCAACAGTCTTCAACCTTCCTAATTTCCTAAGTCTGATACACTAGATGAGGTTCATACTACAGCAGGATAGGCGTCTAAGCATGAACCTGTATAATTCATAATTTAGCATTAACTTGAAAGCGTAAACAAAGCAGTTGGTTGGCTGTTGCTGGCCACAAGACATTCACCATAGCTCGGGTGCGGAGTTTTTCGCGCTGGATGACAGAACCTCCCTTTCGTCGTGAACACACTACACTAGTCCTTTCCCGGCGCAGAGCAACGTTCGAGTTCAGGTTCATGGCTCCCCACAGAACCTCCCTAATGACCGAAAAATCTCGATCTTGGTATCATGAGAACCTGGGGCGGGGTGCTATCAAGGGCCCTCCGCAGAAAGCACGGTCCAAGAACCAACCACAAATAAACTTTAGCTAAAGATCTGTGAAACGGCCATCTAGGGTTGGAAACGGGTGAAAATGCCGGCACTCGAGTATGGATGACGATCTGGACATCACCCATCCTCCCACCACGAAAGTTCAGCTCCAATCCGGAATACACCCGGACGACAAGTAGGACCGAAAAAGCAAGTGGGCACGACCCAGTTTACACCAAAAACAGACAACTTGGAGTGCTTGTTCCGGCACCGGTACCTAAGTTAAAAATAGGACAACCTCATGGAGTACTGGTATTCAGAAAATGTGTAGACTGCCTGACTTCAATTGTAACCTCTGCTCGAGTAATAAATTTAAACTATCTGCAGAGTGGTAGCCCTAAGAAACAAAACATTCCCCTCAAACAAGCGCCAAGACTGCTTTTTTGGTGGGAGAACTGTGTCTTGGCGGAATTTGAAAGTTAAACTGCACACTGGCCTTGTGGAAATAGGAATTAGGTGGATGCCTGTATGTAGAAAATGGTGCCATTACTGTTTTTCAGTGGTTTTATGGATAGTTTGTATTCTTGTGAATTTCCCCCAGTGGAATATCTCGCTGTGAAATTTGCTATTTTTGCTGTAAAACCGGAGTGCCCACTCACTTCCTCGATCGCGCTTTTAACACCAAGGGATGGATAAGTATGCAAAGCCTTCATGCACCTTGCACATCTGCACATCCAACCCCACGAGCCTGCAATGATGGCAGAGCCCGGCACTCCCTTAATCGGCCTCATTTCAGGAGCTGTTGTTAAGATGACATCCGGATACCTTGATCATGAAGGGATAAAACATGACTTCTCTGCTCCCTTAAGTTACGTATGGTTGAACAGAGAGACGACCTACCGGCACTTGCATTCAGGGAGGAATTCCCATTTAGCCAATTTTCACGTGGGCGAGATCGGCCAACAGCGGATTACCGCAGATGATTCCAGTGTCCATAAGAGAGGGAAGAAAGAGGAAATTTCTTCCCTGAAAATTCTCTACCCAATCGAAGGATGCAGATGGCTCCGCTCTATGACGGGGTACTTGTAATGGTGTACGAAGGTGGATACCAGCATTCAAGGAGCAGCACGGCAATTTTACGAGAGGAAGATATAAATTAGAACCTTCTACATCCGGATCTAAGGGTCTAAGTATGGATACTGGTATTATATAAGTAGACACTAAAGCCGGGCTAACAAAACGGGGGTCATGGCTCGCGATCTTTCGAAACCTGAACCTCGCAGACTATCAGCCCAAGATATTAAAATAGCACTTTCTTCTTCATAGCCTGCCTTGGGCCTCGGAGTGCACCGTGCTCGTGTAAGCTTTCCTCCATGTAATTCTACGTCGCTCCGACACATCACCCCTCAATGTCCCTCAATATCTCTCGTCTCTCTGGAGAATATCAACCGCTAATCGACTCATTTGCTTTTGAATATGAGTATTTGTTTCCTTTTGTTGTTTTACTGGCTCAGCCATTCAATGCCACCATCCCTCCGGATAAATACCAGGTTTTTCCGACCCGCTTAGACAAGGGAATCTAATTCTTCGTCCTCCCCCCTCCTTTCATATTCTATCGTAGTCGCGTTAAAGAGCTTACACTCATGATTCTTGACACTATGCTGACATTAGACTAGTTACTGGCCAGAGTATGTGGACCGCCAATAAAGCGCCAGGTTTCTCAGGAATATATTATGGTATTTCCAACATGATACACATTTTATGAATGCGGAATCACTGTCGACCTTAAACAGACAGTTTTTGGTTATTCTTGTATCCTACCCACGTTCACTGAGTCTTGCCATCTCCATATCTCAATCTCCCATCGTATCACAAGATGCTTCT